AACTACCTTTTATTCACTTTGTACATATTATGTATATATGTACATACATACATGCCATCTGCCCTTTAGAATATAAGCTCCTTGAGGTCAAAAACTTTTTACTTTTGTCATTGTATCCTCAGTGTTTAGCAGTGCCTGGTACCTAGTAGTAGGTGCTTAATAAATGTTTTTTTTTATCAATTGATAGTAGGTACCCAAATATTTGAATAATAAATGAAAGAAGTATGATGTTAGAAAGCTAGCTACTGTCTCCTTCAACTGAGGTTGGGCATCTCAACTCTTCCACAGGTTACATTCTAATCCCACACAGTACCTAAAGCATAGAAAGATTTGTGTTGGTTTAACATTACCACCTTATTTAACCATTATCAATTCCAACATCTGATGGATGTGAAATCAGGGTTCTTCCTACCTGCTCAGTATTGCACCAGTGACCTAACCCAGTTTCTATCCTTTTGGCTTTCTTTCCCTTGTCATAGGTAAGAAAACATTTCTTGTCCTCTCTCCCAAGTGATAAGTACCCTGAATAAGAATAAACACAATATTTAATATATGGAATCTAGATTTATTGGGCAAGAGCTAAGACTGTCATTGCTAAAGAAATAAATTCTGATGTACCTGAAAAACATAAAACCTGGTAAATTCAGGCAGGAAAGATACATTCCTGGAGATTGAGGGAGAGAGGTCAGTCAATTAATCATTTACTCCGCATATAGACAATTCAAGTGATTGATGAACTCATTTTTTGCCTTTTGAAAGATTATTACAAACTTGGGGACCGTCACTGCACAAGCATTCAAGGGAGTGAACTAGGTAAATCATAGTAAAGAGAAAAATCAAGAAGGGAACAGGCTGTTCTGGGGAAACCAAGTAGAATAACAGATCAGGTTTCTCAGAACTCCATTGGAAATCTGGAAACAAGTGAAAAAGTCAGTTCCCAGCATTGAGGAAAACTGTCACAAAGCCAGCCCCCTGTACTTACTCCTAGGAGAGGAACTGAGCTCCTTCTCCAATTTAGCAACTTAAAATTCTATGTAAAATAAGGCAGTTGGTTATGCCCAACAAATACATACTTGCACAGACGGGAGGAAGTTGAAGAATTATAAGAAGGATAGGCATCTGGGGGCCATTTTTTAATGGAGGCTAAAATCTCCGTAGGACAGGGGCTATTAACCTTTTTTTGTATCATGGGCCTCTGGCAGTCTGGTGAAGCCTAGGGAATCCTCAGAAAATGTTTTGTTTGTTTGTTTGTTTTTGTTTTACTATAACTGAAGGTAATGCTACATTGTTATTAGAGGTTAGTGAAAATAAAGATGTATTATTTTTTTCATCCAAGTTCACAGATTCTCTGAAATCTATCAACAGATCCCATGGGGATCCTTAGACCCCAAGTTAAGAACTCCTGACTTAGGATGGGCCTATTCCTTCTGTCCCCAACAAACACAGTAACGTAATATCTCCAACTAAATTATAAGCTCTTTGAAAGTAGGGAAAAGCCATGTCTTACATTATTTTGGTATTTTCCACAGAACCCAAAATGAGACTTGATATATAGGTGCTCATAGTGTTAGTAATTGGCATTGATTAATAATATAACACATATCATTTTTGCTTTCAGTGAGACACCATTATTTCTACTAACTAGGATAAAGTATTGCTGTATTGCTATGACGAGAAGAAGCTGATAGAGAAGATAGAAACCTATTGCTACCTGGCCCCTCTTTCACCCTTTCTTTTGTCTCCCTGCCCCCAGTGTTTAAATTGGGGGAGAACTCTGAGAGTCATTGGTCTGGATTCATTTGCAGAAAATAGGAAGTGGCAAGGATATCTAAAGAAATACCTTTACTATACACATGCAGCTCTCACCTTCTGCAGTTTTTCTACCCCAACTTAATATGAGTGATAGATCTTTTGAAGGATTCTCAAACCAATTAATCGGATTGTTTTGGGAAATAGTCACAGGATGTTAGAGTTAGAAGAGACTGTACAAGGAATATAAGAGAAGAAAAAGAAATAGAATCAGAATAAGAAACGATGTAATAAAACTATCTCTTTTTTCAGACAATGTGATGATTTACTTGGAAAAAAACCCAAAGACTCAACTAAAAAGTTAATTGAAACAATAATTTTAGCAAAGAAGCAAGATATAAAGTAAATCCATATAAATCATCATCATTTCTATATATCACAAACAAAACCCTGCAAGTTTTGTTGTAAGGAGACATAGTAAGAGATACCCCATTTAAATAACTCTAGACAGTATAAAATTCCTGGGAGTATACCTGCCAAAATAAATCCAGGAACTACATAAATTAAAATATAAAAAAACATTTTATACAAATAAAATCAAATTTAAGTAATTGGAGAAATATTAATTATTCATGGGATAGGCAGGGCAATATAATAAAAATTACAGTTTTGCCTAAACTAATTTATATTTTTAATGCCATCCCAATTAAAGTACCAAAAAATGATTTTACTGAGTTAGAAAAAAATAATAACAAAATTCATTTGGAAGAACAAAAGGTCAAGACTATCTAAGGAACTCATGAAAAAAAATATAAAGAAAGGAGACTTAGCAGTACCAGATTATAAACTATGTTATAAGGCAGTAATTATCAAAACTATCTGGTACTGGCTAAGAAAAGAAAGGTAGATCAGAGGAACAGAATAGATATACAATTTATAGAAGTAAATGACTATAGTAACCATGTGTTTGGCAAGTGTAAAGACTTAAGTTTGAGGGATAAGAATAAGAAATAAGAACGCTGGAATGCAGTCTGGCAGAAATTGGGTATAGACCAATATCTTATACCATTTACTAATATAAGGTCAAAATAGATATATGACCTGGATGTAAAGAGAGATATTACAAGAAAATTTGAAAGACATGGAATATATTATGAATTAGGGAACGATTTATGAATAAGCAGGAGATAGCAGTGTGAGGTATAAAATGAATAATTTCAATTACATTAAATTAAAAAGGGTTTGTACAAGTAAAACAAATGTAGTCAAGATAAGAAGGAAAGCAGAAAATGGGGGAGGGATTTAAAGATAATTTCTCAGCTAAAGAGCTCATATCTCAGATATATGAAGAACTTTGTCAAATCTATAAGAATATGAGTCATTCCCCAGTTGATAAATGGTCAAAAGATATGAACAGCAGTTTTCCAATGAAGAAATCAAAATAATTTATAGTCACATAAAAATACTCTAAATCATTATTGATTAGAGAAATACAAATTAAAACAACCTTGAGATGTCATTTTGGGTTGGATAAAATGATGGAAGGGGAAAACGACAAATGTTGGAGGGGATGTAGATAAATTGGGACACCAATTCACAGTTGGTGGAACTGTGAATTGATCCAACCATTCTGGAGAGCAATCTGGAATTATGCCCAAAGAGTTATTAAACTGTGTATTTTGTTTCAGCAATGCCATTATTAGGTCTGTTTCCCAAGATGATTACAGGGAAAAGGAAAGAGTCTAAGTGTTGTGAAATAGTTACAACAGCTCTCTGTGTGGTGTCAAAGAACTGGAAATTCTGGGGAAACCCATCAATTGGGGAATGGCTGATGAAGTTGTGGTATATGGTTTTGATGGAATACTACTGTGTTATAAGAAATGATGAGCCCGAAGACCTTAGAAAAATATGAATAGAAATAATGAAGAGTGAAATAAGCAGAACCAAGAGGTATACATTGTATACAGTAATAGCAATATTGTTTTAAGAACAACTTTGAGTGACCAAGTCATTTTCATTATTATAAATCCCCAAATTAACTACAAAGGACCTATGAAGGTCTACATCCAGAGAAAGAACTGATAAATAGAAGTATATATAGAATGATTTTATATATACATATGTACAAATACATACATACACACAAATATACATATATGTATATATGTACATATATGTATGCATGTGTGTATGTGTTTGTATGTGTACACACACATATATACATATATATATACATATATATATAGAGAGAGACATATATTTGTGTCTGATGGTAGCCATCTCTAGGGCAGGGTAGGGGAAGAAAAAAAGGAAAAGGAAAAGAAAGTTACATGATTATTATGTATTTAAGAGGAATAACAAGTTGTACACAATAGATTTGCAGTTTCATGTGCAATCATCTTTTTTTCTATTATACAAAGTCATGGAAATACTTGTTTTATTTCTGAAGTTCAGAATAAAGTACTTTTTAAAAATGAACAGAAGTTGAATTTCTACAACCAATAATGAACTATCTAGCTTCCTGCATAGACAGAACACTCTATATGAAATAGGATGGTAAAGTGCTAAATTGTAAGACACAGATGGCAAATCCAAGAGGCTTAGTGATTATTGTAGGTTTAAGGTATCAGGGAAGTCTTCATGGAGTTAATCCAGATTAATTGCTTTGAGTGTCTAATATTATAGACAAATAGAGGGTGACAATATCTTCCTTCTCTATCAGTACAGACCAATTTAAAATAATCTGAAGGATCCCTTTTTTAGATCCTGTTAACAAGACCAGAGCATGATTTTCAGACAACATTGACAACAATTCAGAAATTTTTTAAAAATTGAAATACTTGTTCCTAGTATATTAGGTGCAAAAAATCCCTTTAAGTTGTTCCTGTGAGATTAAAAGACTTCTGGAATGGTGTCTGTTGTAAAAGTCAGATTCAAACTTTTCTTTTTTATCTCTGCTTCCTAAAATTCTGAGTTTCCTCAGGTCCCTAAGGTTCCGCTTTCCACATGAAGCCTTTCCTGAGCCTCCAAGCTATTACCATGTTGTTACTCTTGAAATTACTTTGTATGCCTTTGTATATACTTTGTATTTATATACACATGCACATGTTATTACTCCAAAAGGGAATATAAGCTCCTTGAGAGCAGGGATTATTTGAGTTTGTATCCCCAGTGCCGTATACATAATAAGCATTTAATGAATGTGTGTTGAATCGAAAATGAATTAAATTTGACTCGACTTCTGTTTTCAGGCCCTTTACTTTTGTGGGATCACAAACCAAACGAGTCCTGTTAACTCCCCTCATGCATTCACCTCGGCCTTTCCGGGTCTCCAATCATGACCGAAGCAGCCGGCGTGGGGTGACAGCCAACACACTGAAGGAACTCATTGGCAAGGTACTGTTCCCAAAGTCCTCATTTAACTAGTCATAGTTGGTCCGATTAAGATACGTAATACAACTCAATGTCAAATGTCAGAGCCTGAGCAATAAGATGTTCGTATTTCTTTAATGACTTGTCAAACTCTGGAAATGGACTTCCTTCTTTTTTTTTGGCCTCTGGAATAATATGTTTCAGTGAGTAAGAATAATGCTAATTATGAATTAATGCTAATTTTCAGACTTTCCAAGCTAAAATGTAATGGTCAAACTCAATCAAAGGTGACACTGTTAAACCTTTATCTTATTTGTAGATACAGAAAGGTGGTGTTTGTTTGTTTTTAAAGCCTTGGAGTTAACAATAGAGTACAAGTGTAGCTACAGAATGCATTTTGTAAACCTTAAAGTACTATACAAATTATTTTAGTTGTCAGTGATAATAATATGAGGAAGAAGGCAAGAGATAAGGATAGGGAATGTTGTACTTTAAGAACTTTTGGGGGACTAAGGAAAAGAGAAGCAACAACCCTCTTTACTTTGATTTGAGCCAGGCCCCTTTTTGACAAGCTAAACAGCACATCACCATATATGTGAAAGCCACTGGAGAAAGAAAATTGGCAATTTTGGTCATGCCATATATTAGTTTTTCAAAAAATAATGAAAGACCATAATTTGCCAACATGTTGGTAGTTCTGTGAATTGTAAACATAAAACATGTAAAATTTAGTGAATTTCTTTGAAATCTATTTCCCAAAACAATCTGATTAACATGTTTGAGAAACCTTCAAAGTAAGTTGTCATAGATTATCTATCACTCAAATTAAGTTAGGGTAGAAGAACTGCAGAAGATGAGAACTCATGTATATAGTAATGGTATTTCTTTAGATATCCTTGACACTTCCTATTTTCTGCAAATTAATCTAGACCAATAACTCTCAAAGTTCTTCCCTAATTTAGTCACTGGGGGAAGGGGAACAAGCGAAGGAGTGAGAAAGGGGTCAGCTTTATATTTCTTTGAAATCCACTAAATTATGAAAGGGAGAGCCATTTGAGAACTTATAGCTGCTATTTTGTTTCAAGATGGTAGCCTGAAGAACATATTGGCATTTATTTTTACATAATAATATTTTTACATAATCTTTACATAATAATGAAAACAGAGGAGTCAAGTCAAATTTAATACATAATATAATACATAATATTTTTACATAATAATAATTACATAATAATACATATTTTGATATCTTTTAGTAATAGATTTTGAACAAGCCTCAAGGTTCAGTGGAAAAAGTGCTGTCTTTAGAATCAGGAGACCTGGGTTTAAATTCTATGTTTTAATTCTTGATAACTATGACCATGGGCAAATCACTTAACAACTCATAGCATCGATTTCCCCATGTAAAGGATGGAGGTATTCCCTATCTCACAAAATTGTGAGGAAAGTAGTTTTTAAAGCATAGAGACTAAGGTGCTTTGATCAGATTGTAAGATCTTTCAAAGTTAATTTCCTTCATAGTATAATTTGTCATAGATTTGCTATGACAACCAATTGTTCTCCTGGTTTGCTCACTTTCCCCTGTATTCATTCATACAAATCTTCCCACGTTGCTCTGAATCCATCAGATAGTGGGAGTTTAATGTCATAGTGTCTAGAGTGCTGGGCCTGGAGGAGAAACACCTGAAATATCTAGCCTCAGACACTTACTAGCTGGGTGACCCTGGACAAGTCACTTCACCTTTGTCTGCCTCAATCTCCTCAACTGTAAAATGGGGGTAATAATAGTGCCTACCTCCCAGGGTTATTATGAGGATCAAATGAGACAATATTTGTAGAACGCTTGACACAGATAAGCTTTTAATAAATGCCTATTTTCCTTCTTTCTTGCATTATATTTATTCTTTCTTAGGACAATAATATTTTGTTAATTCATATACCAAAATTTGTTTAGCTATTCTCTAATTGATGGGTATCTGTTTTGTTGCCAATTCTTTGTTACTACAAAAAATGTTGCCATAAATACTCTTGTACATGTGGGTCCTTTCCCTCTGACTTTGATCTCCATGGGATATAATTTAATTTGAGAAGGAAAAAGTCTGTTGAAGTGTTACACAAATGTGTGGTTGCCTATGCTTGGCATTGTCCAAACTTGGTGATATCAATAACCTCCTTTCAAAGTTAACAGATGAATGGCAATGCTGAGGGCTAGAGGTGAACCAGACCATACTTACTACAAAGCCAATGATACTGGTTTTCTGTTCTATCACAAATCTAGACCCTGGATGCCCTAGCAATTACTACGGGGCTGGTTACTTTAGTGTTGGAAGAAGATGGCACAGTTGTGGATACTGAAGAATTCTTTCAGACCCTAGGAGATAATACGCATTTCATGGTCTTGGAAAAAGGACAGAAGTGGACACTGGTAAGCAAAAATATCACCCGATTCTCCTCTCACTGCAGGTATGCAGAACTCCTAATGTTGGAGCTTGTATTTATCTGATATGTATACCCAAGGAGTGTGAGGGTTTTATCCATATTCCCAACATAACTAGTATCCTCAGAAATTAAAATTGTAAGAACTAAGGCAAAGAGGTTGAGGGGCTTGTCTGAATCAATGAGTAATTATATTTTAGGGCAGTAATTGACAGCATACTATGTACTTGAGGATGTGACCTGATGACCGAATGACTTCCTGGTTCTCAAGGAGATTAATGGGGGAAGACCAGGTAATCCCACAGCCAACACTTATTCAGTAGACATTTCCTGTTTACGCTGTGCTGTGGAATGGGGAGAGGTTGGAAAGGAGAGGCAAGAGATACAAAGTTTAGAGAAGTCTTAGTTTCTGCCCTCATGGAGCTTACAGTCTAGTAGGGGAACAGAACCGATAATAATGACACACAAAATTATACAATAAATGCATTAGAGAGGTCTATGGGGAAGGGACAGGGGTTGATAAATAAATGCCAGAGATAGCACTTGAGTTGGACTTTAAAGGATTTAGAATTTAATGAGGAAAGAAGGGAGGAGGACATTTCAGACATGCAGGGTATTAAGTTATAAGACTCATCTGTAAATCTTTAGAATTATTTCACTCAACATCTGGCACATAGTTGGCACTCGATAAGTCTTCGAATTGAAGGGATGGGTAGATTGTGTTACTTGGTCAGAAAATCCATAGAGTTAATTAGGGAGAGATTCCTGGAGGTGATGGGTCATGGAGCTTGCTGTAAGAAGTTATTCTATTCTTCTGAGACTCTCCAGAAAGAGATTTTAGTGAGGGAAGAAGTGGTGGTGGAGAAAGAGAGAGGATGTAGAGGAGAAAAGAAGAGAAGGAAATTTGCTTAGATGGAAGAGAGAGAGCTGGATTGTGGAATCTCACCAAAGGGCTATCATTAGTGACACAATGAGTCTAAAGCAAGGACTATGGAAAGTTTTTTTTAGGAGAGATCACCATAAGCCAGTGAAAGACTAGGTCAAATTCCATAAGTGTTTTTCCCCAATACTGCTTCCATTACTGCTTAAAATAAAAACATACCAATTCCACACTTGAGGCTATTTTTCCCATGTTCTTTAAAGGAAAGAATTGTAAGTAGTGATGCTGAACTAGAAGTAAGGAGACTTGGGGTCTAGTCCTGACCCTGCTTCTTCATAGGGGTGTGACCTTGAATAAGTCACTTAATCTCTTTTAAACTTCCTTTTCTTCATCCCTCTTGTCTACCTAATGGGCAGGTGGTGATGTAGGGATTATCCCAAAACAAATCAAAAAGCTTTTGGTTTTATTTTATCATTTTAATTATTATTTTTTTTATTTTCAATCATATTGATACCAGTTATCATCTTGGTTTTTTGCCCTGTTGCTTTTTGAGATTTTTTAAAAGTGCATACTCAACTCATTTTTCTTTTTCTTTTATACTCATAAAGGCATTCACTGAGTTTGCTTTAAGACGTAATCATAGGGTAGGGATACAGACTATACTTGTGATTTCATTGGCATAGAGAACTCCCAGGTAAGGAAACTCTCTACCAGTGCAGGTTGCAACCTTATCTGCAAATTATAGTCTTAGAGAGTTGTCTAGAGAACTGAGAAGTTAAGTGATTTGACCAGGATCTCAGAGGCAGAGATTAGGCCAAGGTAGGATTTGAACCTAGGACTTTCCAGCACTCCACCTCTAATGTTTATCCACTTCCTTTCCCCAAAGGTAAATGCATACGTATGTACATACTTAGATATAGGTATAAGAAAAAAAAAAACTTTGAAAATGTGCTTAGCCCCATATAAGGAGGAGTTGTCTTCTCTGTTGATGAATTATTGTAGGTTAAAATCAAACAGAGGAGGGGCAGCTAGGTGGCACAGTGGATAGAGCACCAGCCCTGAATTCAGGAGGACCTGAGTTCAAATCCAACCTCAGACAAAATACTTGACACTTACTAGCTGTGTGACCCTGGGCAAGTCACTTAACCCCAATTGCCTAAAAACAAATAAAACAAAAAAAAAACCAAAAACCAAAAACAAAAATCAAACAGAGGGATCCTAGGTGGTGCGGTCCCTTGTTCTCACCATAGAGAATAGTTGTTTTCTTGTTCTTGCGCATTCCTGTATGAGTCTTCATTAGCCCACCTGGGGTTTTCTTGGCAAAGATACTGAAGCGGTTTGCCATTTCCTTTTCCAGCTCATTTTACATACGATGAAACTGAGGTAAAGAGGGTTTAAGTGACTTGCCCAGGGTCACACAGCTAATGAGTGTCTGAAGTCACATTTGAACTCAGGTCTTTCTGACCCTAGGCCCAGGGCTCTATCCACTGTACCACCTAGCTGCCCAATGTATTGTTGAGCAAAGTGGCATTGTTTTCTTCCTGCAAGTAAGATCTGACAAGAACATTTTCTGATTAATCTGCTTATATTAACATCTAGGAAGCTTGACATAGTGAATAGAGTACTACTTGAAATCAGGTGATCTAGGTTCACATCCAACTTCAGAGAGTTACTAACTGTATGATCATGACCGAGTCACTTAATCATTCAAAGCAGTAGTTTTCTCATCTGGAAAATGGAGATAATAACGCTATAATATAATAAACTATTTCATAGGGTTGTTGTGAGGAAAACACCTTTGGAAATCTAAATTTAATTCTAGAAGTGGAGGAATATTGAGAAATGACTATGGTATGTAAAATAAAAAAAGCACAAATTAATTTTAAATCCTTAAACATGATTTATAAATGAGTGATCAAAATTCAGCTACTTGTTAGGGTATGACCACTAGGTGGCGCCCTCCACTACGATTGAGAATATTAGGTAGCCTGCCGAAGCCAGTTAAGATGTGGTTTGAAGATGGCTTTCTACATTCTTTATCCCTCATGGGTTAAATAAGAAATCCAGGGTCCTTAGGTAATGGTGAGTCAATTATCTGGGCTCTAGTGTAATTAAATGAGTTCCCTCTTATATTCCATTAGGGCAGCTTCCCTTTCAAAGCAGATGTAATGGCTTCTTGTATGGACCTGATGGTTTAGGGTTTGGCATATAAGTTTGGAATGATTATGACTTTGCTGCCTCCGAATTTGGATCTCTTCTTGTGGATGTTAGGACACTGCCAAAGAGACCCCAAGTTTTAGTTGAAAGGCCTCTGACAGGAGCCATCAAAGGACAGATCACATCAACTTTGGCGAATCTCCAGTTATCACTAAGGAGGCAATATGACTGAGAGGAAATGTCTTATGACCAACCTCGCTAGCAGATTGCTCATCTGCAATCTGCTGTTCAGGGACTTGAGAAAGAATTCTGTGTATTTGGGAATGGGAAAATAATAGGAAAACTGGATGAGGTGAAATAAAAACAGTTGGTAATATTTTTAATAATGGAATTCAAATATTGTGGTCTAGAAAACCTTACTAATGAGCAGTTCTGAAAAGGTCATAGCATTGTATAGTGTTCCTCAAATGCTAATTCTCTGCCTCATGCAGAGAATTGTTTTTAAAACAAAGTGCTTAGTTTGGGGGGGGGGGTAGAGATGGGTGGGTGGGAGTAATACTGCATTTAAAGTCAAAGGACCCGGGTTCAAATTCCAGCTTGGACACTTACCACCTGCGTGACCATGGACAGGTCTCTTAACCTCTCTGGGTCTCCATTTTCTCGAAGTACAGAAGAGTTGGACTTGAATGCCCAGGCCCCTTCTAGTTCTAAATTGACAAAACATTTAATCCTCATTCTGCCCTCAGCTGCTAACAATATGGCATTAACATCTTCTGCCTGGCTGCCCTTCCAAAATGGAAACAATGCTGACTCCCTCTCAATTGAAAATGAATGGTAAAGTGTTTTATTGTCAGGAAATAAGGCCAGAAGACCCAATCAGATAACTATTTGGTATCTGTTGCAACTTGTTAACCTATGAGTACATCTCAATACCTTTTATCTCTTCTATCTTAGAGTTCATTGAGGCCTCTCTCTTGCTTCCCTAAGCTGAATCCAACACTAAGTTTATACTCTTTGTCTAACTAAAGTTCTGGCAGCAGAGCCATAATCACAGTGGTACAAATGTTGGACTGAGACACAAATTATTCAAAACTCTGAATCAAATAGCTCTGCTTAAACCGTAGGTCTTAGTGTAAGCAGCTTTCTACAAGCATCACTACTTTACATTGGCTTCAATAAAGCTTGAAGCCAACCTAAAACAAAAGTTACAAAACTAGGTGTTTGCTTTTGCTTGGATTTTATTTTGTTCAAACTATCTTTCCTCAAAACAGGGTCCTAAATATGTTACTCAGAAGCAAAAAAAGTCTGGAATAGCAAGAGTCACTTTTGACTTGTATAAGATGAATCCCAAAGACTTCCTTGGATGCTTAAATGTGAAAGCCACCATGTATGAGATATATTCTGTGTCCTATGACATCAAATGTACATCTGCCAAAGCTGTGCTGAGGTAAGCTAGTTTTATAGGCTTAAATACTTTTGTGCAAGTAGAGTGTCCCTATGTATTATCCCAGCAGTAAATGGTATTTCTATTCTCCTAGTCTCAAGCTCCTTGAGGGCAGGGACTCTTTTGTCTTTCTTTGTATCCCTAGCACTTAGCAGAGTGCTTGGAATGTAGTAGGGGCTTGATAAGTAATAAATAAAGTATATTGGCTGCAAGGTACAGGAGCTCTTAGTCTAACCTCAGAGCTTGTTTTGATTCTTATGAGCTTGTGGATCAACATCAAAAGTGCATAATCAGTGGCCCCCAACATTATTATCAAATACTAGTGTAGCAGAAGCAGCACTGAGCACTGGGAGTCAGTGGATTCTGACTTGATTCAATTAGTAGTTAACCGTGTGTCCTTGGGGAAAGTCGTTCTCCCCCCCCCCCCCCCCCCCGTACTTCGGATTCTTCATAAGGAAGTAGGATTAAGTGATCCTTGTGACTCCTGTGATTCCAGATGCTGTGATGTTTATGGATTAAGGGGCCTCTGAATATCTTAATTCTGGGCCTCCATCAGAGTTTCCATAGAACATTGGATGAACTGATTTCCATACAAGGAACACAGCCTATGACCACTGGATTCCTTGAAGAGAGTCTCTAGGAAGGCCGCTATGGCAGTACGGGCTCCTAGGGAGTTTATACAAAGATTTGGCAAATTCCTATATGGATATTTTATTGCTCCCTCTAAATCCCCTTTAGGTGAGGAGGACTGTGCCTGCTCCTATTTACCAAAGAGAAACAGAAAATGACTTGCCTTTCTGTATTTTTCCTACAATAGATCTTACAGCTACCTTCTCTGAGTGCAGTAGAACAGGTCAGGAGGATAGCTTAAGAAAATAATAAGAGACAAATAGGTTTATCAATTAATTTTGGGATTAAAAAGCTTAGTCTGACTTCTGTTGTGATTTAGTTAAAAATCACTCCTTTTATATGCGGAGGCAGCAGCAAAGTGCCTTCAAGTTTGAAAATTGCATCTTGCTGCAATTTGACTCCCAGCAAGGACTTCCCTGAAAGACAAACTTGAGGATTTCTGCTGATTAGTTCAAATCAACGGGAAGATCAAATAATCCTCCCGAGAGGCAACCAGCATTCACCGAATAGCTGCAACAGCTAAGAAAGTTAGCATGAGAACAGCCCAGCTGTCTGGCTCTAGGCAACAGTTGTGAGTGCAAGCCCCTAGGAAAGCTGCACCTGGCAAAGAGCAGTCATTTAGTCTGTGGCATCTCCAGACAGATTCAGAAAAGCTTCCACCCACGACTGAACACACATAGGAAGTTTATACAATTCCTGGCTGTCTCAGCTTTCATCGCAGCACAAGTTTAGGGAGGAAAGGAGAACTTTTTTTTTTTAACTCTCTTTTTTAGCTTTAGACAGAATAGAAACAAAAGTTAAAGTTGTTGTTTCTAATGAACAAGAATTACTCATTTTTAATACCAAAATCAGTGGTAAGTGCTAGGCAGAATAGCATGACTATTTTTGATCTTAAGAAACTCTAACTTCTAAGGGCTACCTTGGAGTTGACAAATTAACTGATTGCCCTGAATGGAATGAGTTAACTAACACCTTTATAAGGGCAATGAGATCCTGATTAATTTTTTCCCATCCATTGTCCATGCCTAATTTCAGTTCAGGCCTATGTTAATTATTTTTGTCAGTTAGACTCTTAAGGATTCAATAGTATTCTAGAGTTACTGAAAATTAATGACTCAGTATTGACTATATCAGATACTATTCAGTATTTAAGCTTGGCACCCCACTTAAATCAGGGCTTAGATAAGGGGTGTGTCTGTCTAATTATAACTGAGTTAAGTTCAGGAGTGGTACGGAATGGACTTTTAATGTTGAAAACCGTTGCCTCCTTTCACCCTCAAGTCGCTTTGGGGACAGTGGACAAAGATATGGAAGGAGAAAAGTGATTTTTCTATCCTAATTTAAGATGCTTAATTAAGCAAGAGAAGAGATTTTTAGACCTTTTGTTTGTTTTCAACTTATTTTTGCTGTCTTCCAGGCACTTCTTGCGGTTTATGTCCTATGCTGCCCAAGTCACCGGACAGTTTCTCATCTACACTGGGAATTATATGTTACGTTTGCTTAATGACACTGACAATTCTCCTCCTCCTCCTCCTCTGAAACCAACACCCAAGGGATGGCTCCTATAGGGGGACAGTGCCTTGCATTAAAGGGATTGTAGCTGGCTCCATTAGTTTCCTTCCCAATGTTAACTTTTAAATAATTGGTTTCAGGGATGCTACCTTATATTCTTAGACACATCATTTGCAGATAGTTGGCCACTACTACTCAATACTAATGATGCAGGAAAAGTTAGCTATGGCCAGCTCTTTTCCTAGGAATTTCCTTTTTTTCCTAGGAAATTCCTTTGTACTAATGAGCCTGGAAGAAAGGATATACACAGTATGCTTTGGTGGCTCTCCACATACCTATATGTGTGTCTCTGAAAGCTAGCTTTCATGTACAATCACACCTCTAGCAAGCAAATGTAGGAAAAGTACTTTTGGATCTTCAGTCTATGAAAAGAAATAAAGAACTGGCAAATAGTATTGATGTTTAATGAGGTTCTTCACTGGGCACTGAGGGGCCACAACATGTAGTATCTTCACTTAAATGAGATTGCCAGTTTCTTGACTTCTTAGAAAAGCTTCACTTGAAACATGGCATATAAATGGAATTCTTTATGGCCAATGCTATATATACCTGTTACTTTCATCATTGAGAAATTCTCCATTTTTAACGTATCTGGGCTTTTCTCAGACCTCACAAAAATAACTGGAGTTATTTTGTGAGGCTTGGGGGAAAGTGAGTTTTATATTTTCCAGAACCCTGAGGTTTTTATTTCCTTTTGCCTTCAGAGATTTCCTGATGTCAGTTTCTCTGGCTTAGGGCAGAAAAGGAACACTTGTCCAGACCCCATGTTGGATTTTGCTTTCTGAGCCCTTGAGTACCTCTTCAACTTCTCCTTAGGCCAGAGGGAATCAAGAACTGAGAATCACTTAGGGAATACTGTAGAAGTCCTTTGAGGAGACAGACCTAGAGTGGATAGGAGTAGGCAGAGAAGATGCTGAACAGAACAAATCAAGATTTGGGACTCAATGGGGCAAGATGATCAGTAGAACCCTAGCCAGGGTGAGATCAGTGGGACCACATCCATTACCATTCCCTCAGGTCAATTGCTGAGGAAAAAAGATGGCAAGATCTGAAAGTGATTAAATCTTTTTTTCTTTTCTTTTCCCTTCTGCTGACTGGTGAGAGGTGCCAGGAGGAAAGAGGGTTTGATCCAAGCTGCAACAAGTCCTCCAGCATGCTGTTTGAAAGGCCTTTTTGTCTTTTGGGTTGTTTTTTTCTATGTTCCCTGATTGTTTCAGTAAGTCATATGACTTAAGAAAACAGCAAATTTTCAAATCCTTAGAATTCAGGGAAGGGGGAAGGGAGGAATGAAAGTAACGAAGGCCAAACATAGGATCGAGGCTTACAGAGCAGAGAAAAGACACATTTCCCATTCTCAAAGTAGTTTGTGTTTTATGTTGTTGTTGAGTCCTTTCAGTCATGTCGAACTCTTCATAACCCTATTTGGGATTTTCTTGCAGTGGTTTGCCATTTCCTTCTCCAGCTCATTTTATAGATGAGGAACTGAGGCAAACAGGGATAAGTGACTTGTCCATGGTCACACAGTAAGTGTCTGAGGCTAGATTTGAACTCATGATTCCAAGCCCAGTGCTCTGTCCACTGCTCAGTGTAGCTGCCCATTGTTTTATGTTAGTTGTTTTATTTAGGGGGAAGGGTTGGTGCTAGGGTCTTCCAGATCTGATCTCTAGATCTTTGTAGAGCCTGAGGCTGGCTGCAGTTTGCATGCAAGCAAGTAAGAAGGCCAGTGGGTTACTCGAATTTAATTGGAGCCCAGTTTGATGGCTAAATAAATGTACAGGTAATTAATTAGTTAATCCATGACAGCGCTCTATAAATAGCAAATGAGCTGGGTCTGGGTGATTATACTTCTGGCAGCAACACTAGGTGGCCTCTAGCACCCAATACCCACACCACCCATCATACCAACTTATTTTCCTTTTCTCTTTCATCAATCAATCAATTAAGTATTCATTCAATACCTACTATGTGCTAGGCACTGGGCATACAAACATCCAGTGATCCCTATTGAAAAGAACTAACATTTGAATAAGAGACGATAAAGAACAGGGGCAGAGGTACACCTTATTTTTTTTTTTTACTGTTTTATTAGCATGATGGATAGCTGACATAGGTCTCTGGTAGACTTTGGCTTGAACAACACTTACTCTGAAGACCCCTCTCCTATGTCCCTACTGCCCCAACCTTCTGCTGGCCTAGAGTCTTACTTAGCACATAGTTCTGAAACTAGTGAAGTCTTATGGAAGAAATTACCCTTGGAAGGGTGGTGTTTCAATTCTTTTGAGGATGGCAGTGCCTTTGGGGGTAAAAAAGAACAAATAACTCAGAATAATCATTCTGAAAACCATTCTACACACACACACATCTTAAATGTGATAAGTAATAAAGAATTCTCTTGCTTTTTTTTGGCACTGACTCTTTCCCCTCTTTCTGACCTTCTTCCCTAACTCCTTGAGAAAAAGAGCTTTTCCTTTTAGTGTAAAAGGGAAAAAAAGCTCCAGTGTTTTTGCCTAAAATCTCTTTAAACCAGCAGGTCCATCCTGCTACAGAGTTTAAATAGTTCTTTCAGTAACAGGGCAGCCTAGTGGGGAAATTAGTTTAACTTCTTTTTTCCTTTTATTCTCTCAAAATAAACATGGGATTTTTAAATTTTTTTTTGGCCTGGTTTTCTTTCAAATCCTTCAAACCAGCAGTTGTTCCCTGGGCTCCTTGCTCGTTGTGGGATTGCGTCACTGACCAAGGATTTTGAACACTCCTGGAAAGAGTTAGGCTGCCTGGTTTCCAAAAAAGGAATTCTCACTGTAGGCCTGGTTCCTGTTGACTCAGCCTGTGTTGTCACTCTGTAGACTGCACCGCCCTGCTCTGGGCCAGCCCTCTTGCCTTGAATAACTTGGACTGCAAAAGAAACAAGTGTTCATTTGCCTATTCCTTCCAGGGCTCTTCCCATCTTTTCGTGATTTCATTTTCCCCCTTCACTCTTCAAAAAACACCCTGGTATTGTGGATGAGGTGGGCGGGTAGAGGTGGGGGTAGAAGTATCTTATCTAAATAGGGTTCCATCTTTTCTATCCTAAGAGTAGGAGGTAAGTAGGTAAGGTAGAAGTTGTCCCCTTCGTGGGGATTGAACTACAAAAGAGAAATAAAGCAAGCCAGGCTCTTGTGACTTACGGGAAGGATGATTTTTCCACACGTTACTATAGTTCTCTTTTTCTAAGAATATTAGCTCAGTGTTTTACAAAGTTTCTCCCCTTGTCCCATAGCAACCCTTTGAGGTAGGTAGTATTGTGCATAATTATCTTCAAGTTACAAATTAAGAAACAGATTTAAAAGAAGAAAAGAACATGCCCAAAGACATATGACTAATTCAGTGGCCATGCTAGGATTTGAGTACGGGTTTCCTGGCTCCAAGTCCAGTGTTCTTTCTATGACATTGTACTAATGTGTTGCTTTCTCAATTTAAATTTTGTAATTGTAATTATCTAGGGCTAGGAAAGACTATATTATGACATTGTGGAGTGACTAGTTTTGCCTCAGAGGCTTGCTTAGCTGTGTGACCCCATTTAATTTTTCTCAGCCTCCATTTCCTCATCTGTAAAATGGGATAATAATAGCTCCTACTTCACTGGGTTGTTGTGAGGATCAGACGAAATAATACATATAAAATGTTACATAAAAATTAGCCATTATTATAAAGAAGCAGTCATTATAAGTGATTAAATCAATTAGCTAACCCAAGATCATTAGTATCACTGAGGTAGCCCGCTGTATAGCAGAGAGGCCAGTGAAAAGATGGTATTTTCCCTTTCTTTCATTTTTTTAGTTAGCAAAAGACTCAGAGGAACCCTTCTGAGTGGGGGAGGTGTGACTGGGATTAAACCAAACTGCTTCCAGAAAGGGTGTCAAGCAGGTATCCATTGTCCATACTGTTGTTGTTCAGTAATGCCCAACTCTTCATGATTCTGTTTGGGGTTTTCTTGGGAAAGGTACTAAAGTGGTTTGCCGTTTTCTTCTCCAGCTCATTTTTTTACAGATGAGGAAAATGAGGCAAAGGAGGTAAGTGATTTGCCCAGGGTCACACAGCTAGTAAGCTTCTGAGGCCAGATTTGAACTCAGGTCTTCCTGATTCCAGGCCCAACACTCTAGCTGCCCTATCCTCTATATTAGAGGAAGTTTTTAATAGAAAAGTCAACTGCTCTAGGCCTCAGTTTCCTCATTTGTGAAACTAGGGATGATATTTTAGAACCTACCTCCAAAAGGTTGCTGGGAAGATACTTTGTTAACCTTTAGAGTGCTCTCAAAAGGCAAGTTGTTATTTTTCTGTTGTATTCAAAAGTCACATTTCAGTTTAGGATCCCAGTTCTAACTTCTGTAGCTCCTGTGGTACAGCAAATCACCCATGACTCCTGCATTTTTTGAAGATGTCCCCAGTTGCTAAGCAGCCAACTGAAAAAAAAGACATCTCCTAACCTTGTAGTGAGTAGAACAGAACTGATTACCAAATGTCTCTACTGTACAGGTACCATCATTTATCTAAGGCACTTCCATTACCTGTCTTCACAACTCTCCTGGGAGCAGGCATGTGCAGAATTTAGGTGGTGAAGAAGATAGAGTGCTGGGCCTCAGGTCAGAAGATGAATCTTCCTGAGTTCAAATCTGACCTCAGACACTAGCTGTGTGACCCTGGCAAGTCACTCAATACTGTTTGCCTCAGTTTCCTCATCTTTAAAATGGGCTGGAGAAGGAAATAGCAAACCACTCCAATGTCTTTGCCAAGAAAACCCCAAACAGGGTCAGGAAGTGTTGAGTATAACTGAATTTGTGGGGCATTTGCCTCACCTAATCATGCTAATGAGTTCTGACCATGTGCTACTCCTCATTACCTATAATACTTATGTTCTGAGGTTTTGATGTTGCTCTTTTAAAAGAACATGTTACATAGATCTTTCAGTTTCCTGCTGTAGACTTCTCACACATGAAACTGGATGGGATCTTCTGTGGTAACAAGATATTGGGGATGAGGGTTTCACCTGGAACTTGGACATTTCACATGGATACTTACAATGAAGGCTATCTGAATAAACATTTTTCACACTTATTATCACTGATATATGTCTTTGGATGAAGTCAAACCTGTTCTGTTCTCTTAAAAATAAAAATTAAAAACTCAAGCTTCTCACTCTTTCCTCATTGCATGACTTCTGTATTATTTTTTAAATTGGCGAAGAGTTCTAGTATAAAATACCACTGTGCTACTTTCCCTTTTTAGAAGTGGAATTCATCTATCATTGTGAGGGACTGTTTAAGAGTTTTTTACTGGCCTGGTCTCACTGTACTGGAGAAACTGATGTTCCTTTAGCAAATCTGAATGTGTTCATACTCTTCTAGATCTGTGTTCTGGG